ACTGTCGTACTCGTCTCTCTCTCTCTCTCTCTCTCTCTCTCTCTCTCTCTCTCTCTCTCTCTCTCTCTCTCTCTCTCTCTCTCTGTTAGAATGGCCATCCCATCTCATCCACATGGTTGTGGGAATTCTCTATGACTTGAATCATCTTGATTTCCTGGTGATCAGAGCATGTTTGGATAGACCAACTTGATAAAGGCCACGGGGCCCCTACAAGGTGTAGCTGGGAATCACTTCACCCGCTTGAAGTGGAATCACTCAACATCCAATAGGAGGAATCACTCTACTCCTAATAGGAGAACGCACTCAATTCCAAGTGCAACAAAGCAGTTGCTTGGAAAAAGTTAAAAAAATGTTTTTTTTTTAATTTTCCGCTTGTGTTTTCAGCCACTATGTAAGGCTCTTGTATACTTCAAATGTAATTCTAGATGCTTCTAAAGTCCCCTCACCAAGTCCCTATGCATTGGAAGACCAAAATCCACCTTAAAACCCTCAAAACATTTACCAAAGATAAACACCACTTACAATGAATACCATCATTCATGCAACAACTATGTCAATGCAATCATAGTTCCTATGAAAACATTTCTGGTACAAAATACAAGAAATTTTCATGTATCACTTTCTCTAGTGCAACCACCATGTATTGACTGGTCATCCTAACTAGGAGATCTGGTTAGGTACAGCATCATTTGGTTTGTAAGCCCCCATAGCAGGTTGTTTCCATTCCTCTCTTTTTGCAGCTTCATTTTACATCATATGTGGTTCCTGAGATTGCAAGAACGCGACACATGCATAATATTCCTTACTCTACAATGTCAGATGAATACCCAGGATAGATATGTGAAAACCTTTTTGTAATCCAAAAGGCATCAAACCATGGATAGTAGCACTAAGTCTCCATGCTTAAGCAATTGGCATAAAGATGAAACCTTATATCAGGAAGACTACACATGCATATATGATGCAGATCTATGTCAAAGAAAATCAAGAAGTAACTTACTGTAAATAAATAAATAAATAATGTGTCACTCTCACAGAATTCCACAGTGCTAGAAAGGTCTGTCAGTGAGGGTATCCACCTCACCTTGCACCAAAACGATCATTGTAACCAGCTGATTGCATATTTTGGATCAATCCAGTACTCCCCTCAATACTATCTGTATTTGGAAACCCCAGCATCTTCTGATCTGCAATATCAATTCTTCATTAAAAACTATTGTGCTCAGCCATTACTACACAGAACAGCTAAAGGATGCTTCTTGTAACAAATCTTGTTAAGAGAAATAAGATCCTGCAGACCTGCAAAGATGTAGACTAAAACTAGTAGTCTTAAAATATATTACTTAATACAATCTAAAAAACATGTGCTTAGCTTCCACTATATGGATGAAAAAGGTACATCGTTTGTTCTGGATAGGCTTCCCACATAATAACCAAAAGATTGAGGACACAGTTGTACCACATGCATAGCAAAAAAACCAAAAATAGTGACACAAAGAGGCTTATATTATTAGCCTCGTTTTTTTTTAACTGAATGCTTATATGATTTAGCTCTTAGAACTACATACCATGCAGACTAGACCGATCATCACCACCGCCACCACCACCAAGAATGTCCTGAAGGAGAATGTCTCCAATCACTTTTCTTATTAGTGAAGGGCCAGCCTGCAGAAGAGTATCCTCTGATAGTGTGGTTGTCACGGCAATGCATCTGCAATCAACAAGAATGGGTCATTAAAATTAATGAAGTATTCTTTCATTCAAGAAACGTTATAGCATGTCATATGGCCCATTTCAAACTATGAAGGAAACCAATAAGTCTGTTCATAAGCTCAAACAGCTTCGCTGTAATAGTTCCCACACAAGGGAAAAGAAGCTTGTTCAACTAATAAGTTCAAAACCCCATGTATGGATAATGATTCTCCTTGAGAAACTGCTAACTTTGCTCGGAGGGGTCACCAAGGATCTAGAATTAAGAGCACCAACACAACCATGGAAGGGAGATTTCTTGGTTTCTGTAATTAATAACATAGTTACCAAGATCTCCCAACCAAGGGGATGAGTTGATCCCACTCTAGAACTCATGTACTCTAGGGAGGGGCAACTCGTTCTTTGTGATTTTTGATGCATTGGGATCTCAATCCTTCCCATGGGGGATCAAGATCCTGAGTTAAATGGGATCCAAGCTCCTTTGCATCATATCTGAGGGTTCATAAGTAAACTGAACCAAAGTTCCACCAATGTGGAGTCAAGATTTCCTTTCTATTCTCTCAGAGGTGGCGACTTATAGCCTCACTAAGAGTATGAGCTTTAATAGAGCATAATGGCAGACCAGGATTCATGGAGCCGTCCCCAATTAGTCGGGAAAAGACTCTGACGACGACGACGACAATGATGATGATGATGATGAGACTCGTTTGTCTCTCATTCCCCCTTTAAGAGGTCATGAATTCAATCCTTGAGCTTCAACCTACTGCCATGTAACAGTTATTTTGCATAATAACTTAACACTCTTAAGTATTGTATAATTGGTTGCATGTTTTCTTCACACACAATTTCCAATGGAAGTGGTTTATATTAAACCCTTTTGGAGTTTTTAACAGGTCAAGAGTTACCGTGAACATCATTACCATCGTAATACTCTCTATTCAACAAAGATAGATGCCCATGATTGTTATTATAGACATAAAGGCATAAACTACATTCAAAGAAAGCAAACATTAAATATTATATAGTGATTTGGTTTTCTTAATTTTTTTTAGGAAATTCCAATTTCTTTCAAAATTTTTTATTACCTTATTGAAAAGTGAACAACACTCAAAGGAATAGAGGAATATTAAAATTTAGGGAAATAATCACAAATATACCTTAATTTTCGTCTATTTAGGAAAAAAAACCCTCAACTTTCACAAATGCCCACACCCTTTTTGTTCAATTTTGGGCGTTTTTTGACCAAAATAACCTTCACAGTAGTCGTAGTACCGTGAAACACAATTACAGTACTTTAAGTACAGGAAAGTACCGTAAAAATTAACCCATGTTATACGGCACTTGAAATGCCGTAAACCGACCCATGTTAAACGGCATTTTAAGTACTCTAAAAATAACCTATGTTATACGTGTTGGTGGTACAAGACCAATGAGCTAGAAATGCAATCTTTTAAAAATTTTCCATTGTATAAAAATTCAAGGGTCTAAATGCATGAATATCTTAATACAAAACCATAATACATATATTCCAGCCTTCAAACATGGTTTATACACATTTGAAAAATAAAATTCAACCCTAATAGGTCCCTTACAAGTCCCTTACTCAAAAATACAATTAAACTCAATACAATATTCAAATATTCACAATTTACATCTCTACAACATTTTGCATGACTTGCACTCGCAATTCCTCATTATATAAAAAATATATGATAATTTCATCTTCATTCTTCATCCTCATCATATATAACAATGTCTCATACACATCATACACTTGATACACATCATACACTTGATCATAATAACCCAATAAGATTTCAATTCGCATAAATAATAATGCATAGCGTTAAAGCTCATATCGCAAGATTAAAGAACAATCTCAGTATTCACACAGCAGACTCAATTTAATCAATCATGAATCCATTTAATAACTGTAATACATCAAATTAACATGCAAACATACATGGGGCAACCATGGTTCGAAACTTTCGCGCCCGGGCCACGAAAGGACCTTATGAGGACTTCATTTTGTCCCATTGTCTAAGGCATGTATGATAATAATACTTAAGGAGATCAATCCAATGGGAAGCAAATGATCACTTTTATTTCACTTAATGGGGATCAAATCATGAGAGTGACATGTATCAAAATAAACCTTCAAAGTTTGAGAGAGATACTACACAAAATAAGGAAGTTATGGTGAAACTATACCATGTGGTCCCTAACGGACCACACAAACTTTCAACATTCAAAAAGGAATTCAAGGGACTGTTTCATATGCTCAAATATGATGAAATAAATCTCCAATCAGTCATATAATCTCAGTAAAAATTCTAGAAAAATAAGATCAAGTTGAACTACTCAAGATCATGGAGTACGCAAGCTAGTCTACACATACGATGTGTATGGGCTACATTATTGCTATAGGACTCTTCAAATATCAAGTTTTCATGACCAAAAATGAAGAAAGCTACTGTTAATTAAGAATTACAGCAAGCTTTGATAATGGAAATGACGTAGGAATTACCAATGTAAGAAGAAAAATCAATACCTTAATGAAGCAATAGTATGGGCTTGATCACATAAATGAGGGACTACTCCATGGAACGATTTCAAATGACAGCTCAAGAAAGAAGATAGTCTCATGGGTGGCCACATTTTTGTCAATGGGGCTCTCTCTCTCTCTTTGAAGTGAATACGCAAGTTAATTATAATTGATCCCATAAGTTACTTTTATACTTAGATCATAAAGATGGATTTAATCTTGATCCTTAATGCCTTAGATCAATGGTACATGAGAGGCTTTTATCCAAGCCACTCATCCATATCTTATCACCAAGATCAATGGATAACCTTTTGACACCCTTTACTCTTTAAAACCTAGGTTTATAGTCATTTTACCATGAAGCCCTTAACCCAATTTTTTTATTTTCCATTAAGTCCAAATTCATGTTTACACTTATGCCCATGGTTTTTGAATAATCTGTAAGAGTCAATAAAAGACAAGGACATGGACATAAAGGTAATGGGTGTAGTTTGTATAGAGCCTAAGCTCTAAACAATCAAATTAGAGCCTACCTTCAAATAGTGTCGAGAAATGTGGTTTAAATATTGGAAATCTTTTTGATAGCCTTAAAATATATTTTCATCTTTATTTATAAAGTTTAAAGCTCAAAAATATAGTGTAGAACGAGAGATCTATGAAAACTTGAAAACCTTGAAAATTGACGTTCCAAAAATGCGTTACAAAATAATTATATTCAAAAGTTGAAATCTATTTTTTTCTCATGTCCATGCATCTTGATATTGAGATGATCAATTTGAGGATATTTGGGTATCAAAACAACATCTTCTAGTAAAATTTTTGAGGTAGGCTCGAATTTAATTGTTTAGAGCCTCAGCTCTTTATAAACTTTTTTTATGGGACATCCACACATGTGAATAAAAAATCTTATGACAACCAATAGGATTTTAACAACACTAAAGTTTCACAAGGGTTAAGCCCATAAGGTGGTGCCACATAAGATATACCCACATGCTACAAAATCATATATAAATAATTATATGAATCAAATTAATTCTCAGAATCTCATGACTTCATATATGCAAAAAATGGAACATATGAGCAAAAACAAACATGTGACTTAAATCAAACTTAAGTCATAAAAATATGTAACACTTTAAATAACAAGATAACATGTTATAACATAATACCAACAAAACAATTAATGACAAATAGGTCCCTGCATGGATCTGACGACAGCATGATCTCATCCACGAGTGGGGAGGTGGGGGTGCCACATGGCATCCTTATGACCACTTGCGGTGGCATCCCCATATGATGTCCTTGTTTGGTATTTATTGTTGGCTATGTGGCCTTTCAAGGCCTTAAAGCCAAGAGTCTTACACTTCGTGGAAGTTAAAAAGAGATTGAATCTAGTGCTTGACGCACTGAGGTCCATATTCATCTATCCCGAGTATTTAGGTATTGAGAGTATGTATTTTGAGAGCGTGAACTCTAGGGGAGCTGTGAGGGTTACCTCCCAGTCAGGACTATATTGATTAGAATGCCTCATAGTTGATATGATATGCCAGGGCATGAAGAATCCAATCAATAGAACCTGAATATTTAGAAGCGTATTCGCCCCGTATGAAATGGTCGGCTCATGCGACATAAGCTCGTATCCTGACACGAGACCGTTCCATGGCATGTGCACCCACAATCGTATGGGGAAGCCACTCTTCTATTGTATTATCTGACTTAGAATAACTAGTGCATATGTGCTTTTAAAGGACCCTTGTATTTGAGTAGAAACATGTCCCACAGGGGTGCACAAGTAATCCATTGAACCCTCGGTGACGGGAAGCTCTGGCTCAACGACTTTGATGTGACCAATTATGTGTCCCTGCCATAGACTGTGAAGCATAGGTCCATTGGGTCGGCTTGAGACACCGATCGAACGTCATTCGGTTTAGCTCAATGGAAGACTCTGACTAGTGTTGTAAGTCTAGAGATCTCAATTACCTTTGGCCCAAATTAAGATGAGAAAATATTTTATATTGATGAAAAATTGTGTAATAATGTTGAAAAATAATTTGAAGAATTTTTGGGATTTTTTAAACAATGAAAAATGTGATTTTCAAATTTAGGTTTCTTAAGTGAAAACTCTAATGGACCATCCAAGATTGCTCACAAATCTCGAAGCCAAGCAGCGATCCATCTATTGATCTCGATTTTTAAAGAGGAATCACACAAACAGTAGCATCACCTCACTAAACATAGATCCACATGACACAAAAAACCCTAGGAAACAGCCTTAGATTTTTAGAATGAACAACACGACGAAGAAACCAGAATTATTTTTTCCTCCTTTTTTCATTTTAATCAGGCACTACAAAAATTGATCCTAGGGTTTAAGTTCAATGATACAACATTGAATACATTTGTGGGGAGAGGTGATGAGGTAAAGGTCAGGGACGAAGTCATGACTTAAGAAGAGG